GTTTCCAATCAATAAATAAATAAAAAAAATGTGTGACAAAGAATAATTATTTTTATTGATGATAAAAATAAAACACAAATTTAAAACCAACCCAAAAATGGATTGTTTTCCCATTTGGTGGTGAGTCAACAATTCAAACTTTTAGGTCAACTGTGTCAACCCGAGATGTCATAATTAAATAATGATAAAAATTAAAAAATATATATATAAAAACACAGAAGTATAAAAAAGCAAAAAAAAATGTAGAAAACATTTGGGCACATCTTTAATATCGCATATTCACCATATTAAACAAAAACAAGTAACAAATAAGAATAATTTTTATAGACATAGAAATATAAAAAAAATTACAAAAATTTTGGACACATTATTTACTATCATCATCATCATCAAAAATTGCCACTTGCATACCTTTTTTGAGAAAGGTTAACTGAGATTTTATTAAAAGTTAACAAGAGAATATGTATAGAAGCCTTAGGAGGCAGAAACAGAGTTACACGAGCAAAGAAGTATCAGAAAACATAGATTCTCTACGGGCTCCAGATTTGGCTAAGTTGTCAGCTACAAAGTTTAGTTCCCTAGGAATCCAAACCAACTTCACTCTTTTTTTCGACAACTTCACATTCAAAGAATCCAAAATATCTCCAGCTTCAGTCAGCAGCTGAGCAAGCCTCCAAGGTCCTCCGTTCTTCTGCCTTAGCCATCTTATCGTATTAGTGGAATCACCTTCGATGGATAGAGAGGAAAGGCCTAACATTATGACATAACGTAGACCTGTGAGAGCAACTAAGATCTCTGCCTTGGTAGTGTTAGCTCTCCCAATTGGACCACTGAAAGCCCAAAAGATGTTCCCCCCCTCTCCCATGGATTACTCCTCCAATTCCTGCTTGATCTGTGGATCCTTGAGCATTACCATCAAGGCTTAGAGTTATCAGATCCTCCTCCCTAGAAATAAGTATTTGAGTTAAAACATTACCAAGAGAGGAGTAGAGGACTTCTGCTAAATTTCTCTGAAGGTCATTTAGAGAAATAACTTTGAAAACTTCAGAATTAAGAGCCCAAATGTTGCATAAGAAGGTAATATGAGAGATCAGGTCATCGATGTTCCTGGTTTTGTTTTCAAAAGTCCTATTGCTCCTTTCTTCCCAAACACCCCATATCACTACATGGGGCACCGTACTCCAATAGAGCTTACCCTGCTTCCTATATCATTTCCATGCCACTGTCACAGAAGATCCGAAACTAGAGCAGGAGGAAACACCCAGCTGTATCCCACTAAGTTGAGGAAGAAACACCAAATCTTCTACTAAAAGGGGTCAGCTGTTGTAGAAATGCACAAGGGCAGCAGTTATTTGGTCAGTTTGGGAGGAAAGAAATTCTAGAATTTTTGGGGAAAAGGAGGAACAAGGAAGCACTGATTGAAGTCATAACTCTAAGAGTGGTTCACTGGATTAAGACTCTCAACTTGTTTTCAGACTTTAAGTTTGACGATTTCTTTAGGGCGTGGGGAGCTATAGAAGCATCCTCTTCTAAAAGACAGATTGCAACAGTGGACTGGTCTCCCCCACCTCGTGGTTGGTTTAAACTTAACTTTGATGAGAGTAGTGTGGGTAATCCAGGCCCTACAGGAATTGGAGGATTCATCAAGGATGATGAAGGTAATATATGTACCTTCTTCTCAGGCCCAGCTGGGCAAAGTGATGTTGCATCAACAGAATTCTTAGCAACTGTCTATGGGCTTGAGAAAGCAAAGGAATTGGAACTAGAGAGGCTAATTGTTGAAGGTGATTCCAAAATAGTTGTGGATTGGTTAAAGAAAGGGGAAGGAATTTCATGGCACCTAAGGAATAATCTTAGGAGGTTCAAAAGGCTCTCCAGGGATATGTAATTCAAATTAATTGGATTAGAAGATCGGCCAACAGTTTGGTGAATAGTTTAGCCAAACAAGGGGTACATAGACACTATGTTTTGGGCTCAGCTGTAATTCTGGGGGTTGAACGGTTGGTGTCTATTTGTAACCTTCACAACTACTTGTGCCTCTTTAATTAATTTAATGAAATCTTCTTCTGAGTATTGATCAAAAAAAAAAGAAACACCAGATCTTTCTTTGTTATTGGGCAGTGCAGGAATAGCCGAATAGGTGCTCCGCCATCACGCCATTATTGAGGCAAAGAGGGCAAACATGAGGGGAGATACATATGCCTTTGAGCTTCTTCTGTAACACATCACAAGTGTTTATTTTTTTTAAACAAACCTCCTATACGAAAAAGGAGACTCTGGGGGGATATGAGAACACCAAACCTTCTTGACCGAGAAGGTGGAATCCTGTAACACATCATATGCCTTTGAGCTTCTTCTGTAACACATCACAAGTGTTTATTTTTCTTAAACAAGCCTCCTACACGAAAAAGGAAACTCTGGGGGGATATGAGAACACCAAACCTTCTTGGCCAAGAAGGTGGAATTCTGACCATTCAAAACTAGAGGCTTGAAATAGGAGTTGGTAGTGAGCTTGCCATTTGGGTTAGGTTTCCAAAGAAGGCCAGGGGTAGTGGGGGAGATGTAGGCCTCACTTAGAGAGATAAAAGGTCTGCAATTCATGCAAGTTCTACCTCTCTCAAGTGCCTTCTGACGTTTAAGTTCCAATTAGTTCCTGAGGGTGAATAGTTGAGGCAAGTGGAAACTGTGGCCTCTTGGGATTGGGAAAGGTTTAAAATCCTGGGGAAAGAGAGTGTTTCCCCCCCCCCCCCCACCACCAAAGATCAGCCCAAGACTTAATTTTGTTCTTGTTTCCCACCAGATATCTAAGAAGATCAGTAAAGAGAGAGCGGATAGAGGAAATACCTTTCCAGGGATTATCTGCTTTTACCCAGTTCAAGTGGACCTTGTCATCCCAATCATTGGCATCCCTCCCATACTTGTTGTTGACGATTGCTGTCCATCTAGCTTCAGGCTCAAGGGGATATCTCCACAGCCATTTCCCAAGGAGGGCAATGTTCCTTTCCTTGATGTGTCCTACCTAGTACACCGGCCTTCTTTGGCCTAGAAACCTGCCTCCAGTAAACTAAGTGGCTTTGACTCCTCTTGTCACTGCCCTCCATGGCTCCATCCCATAAGAAATCACACTAAAGCTTCTCCAACTTGTTTTTTATTTTACCCAGAATTTGAAAGACTGAAAGAAGTAGTTGGCAAGTTGGAGAGAGAAGTCTTGATTAACATAAGCCTACCTCCTTTAGGGAGATAGTTTTCCTTCCAAGTAGCCAATCTTTTCTCACACTTCTCCACTACCAGGTCCCAAAAATTTTGGTTTCTTGGGTTCCCACCAAGAGACATGCCCAAATAGGAAATGGGGAGTCATTCAACTCTACAACCTAACAACTCCTTGTACCTATCTAGGAGGGGTTCATCCACATTTATTCACACAATACTGCTCTTGGAGAAGTTAACTTGAAGCCCAGTTACCAGATCAAAATATCTTAACACCTGCTTAAGGTTGGATATGTTCTCCCAATCAGCCTCCAAGAATAAAATTAGATAAGAGACTTGAACTCATTCCCTTCCTACATCAAAGCCTTTTAGCAAGCTTAAATCTCTCACCTTCTCAATCAAATGACTGAAGATGTCAACAACCAATGTGAAAAGTAAAGGGGAGAGAGGGCAGCCATGCCCTGCTAGTGCTGAAGTAACCAGCTCGTTCTCCATTTATCAGAATCAAAAACCAGGCAGAACTGATTCAGCCTTTGATCCATATAACCCACATGTTGCCAAAACATCTCAGGTGTAGAATCTCTACTAAACACTCCCAACCCACTTTATCAAATGCTTTCTCCAAGTCCAGTTTAACTATTACCCTTGACTTTCCTCTTTGTTTTCTGTCTTCTATGCATCCGTTGGCCACTAGAATACTATCAATAATCTGCCTCCCTTTCACAAACGTGTATTGGTTGTTTGAAATTAACTCCCTTGTCACCTCTTCCACCCTTGTCGCCAAGACATGGGCTAAAATTTTATACAAACTCCCCACCAAACTGATTGGTCTGAAGTCCCTTACTTCCAAAGTGCCCTCTTTCTTAGGAACTAAGGTAATAAAGGTGGAGTTGTCGCCTTTGTCCACAACAGCTAACTGGTAGAAGTCTGAAAAAACCTCTAATAGGTCTGATTTGATTGTATCCCAGCATATCTGATAAAAGAAAATAGGGAACCCATCTGGCCCAAGGGCTTTATCACCATCCAGATTAAACACCACTTGCTTCACTTCTTCCTCATCAAAGACTTTCTCTAACCAAATCTTCTTTTCCTCTGACAACTTAGAGCCGTCCCAGTAAACCAATTGAGCTCTACTAAGACCCTCCTTCGAATATAATGCCTAAAAGAACTTCACTTTAATATCTGAGATTTCCCCTTGATCCTCTACTTCTCTTCTGCCCCACCCTCCACTTTGAGATAAAATCTTCCCCCTTCTCCCTCAAGCCTAGCTATAGAAGAATTTAGAGTAGTTATCTCCCTCCTTCATTCATCTCACTCGAGATTGTTGCCTCCAGAAGATTTCTTCCTTCCTTACAAACCATTCCCACTCCTTTCTTAGATCTGCCCTTCTTTTTCTGCCCTCTTCATCCAAACTTCCACTTTGATCCTTCTGGTCTAAGTCATCTAACTCCTGGATCAACTTGTTCTTTTCCTTCGTATATAGTTTAGATTCCTCTTTACTAGTGCTTCCTATATTTGTATGACCAACATTTCCACCAACTCTAAGATTTTAAACCTTGATTATGCGGTTAGAAAGTTATCACCATAAGTAGGTTTCTGAAAGCAAATCATATAAAGCAAGAAATCAGATAGAATTTCTTATAAGAAATTCAAAAACAACCTTACAATGTGAATGCAATGTGGATTATGGAAACGTGTAACAATGAAATCCAATATATAATCTTACAATGTGAATGCAATTTAAAGCCCCATTAATTCAGACCAATCAATAATAACATTGAAATACATTTGACTAAACGAAAAAATATGGAGTTACTCTTTCTTCCCAATTATACGATCCACCCAAATATCCAGAATTCCAATTCAATCAATTGTATTTCCACAGAGTCCATTAATCCACATCATGGTAACGTTAAATCACATTTTAGCGTGTACATAATTTATTCAACCAAAAACAAAAAACAAAGACCAAGCAAAGAAAAGAAAAACCGGAAACCTAGTTCTTCTTCAGAATTCATTTCTGATAAGCGATCACTTTATGGGATGTCCCACGGTTTGGGCTCCGGAACCGCAACCACCATACCTTCAAGTTCCGGCTTCAAAACCACCTGGCACCCAAGCCTCGAGTGTATATTCAAAACCCTGGACCTTGAATTCCTCTTCAAGACGTACTCTTCATCATAGGACCGTGGAGGAAGCTTGTCGAACCATTCCTGCGCAATGTTCACCTCGCATTCTGCCGAGCAGGCGTCGATCTCCTCCAGTCTGTGCGATGCAGGGTCGATCAGCCCATTGTTCGCCAGTGTCCTGAGCAAGGTCTGACCCGAGAGGCCGACGATCTGGCGCTTTTTGCCGTCGATATCGATTGCGAAGAGTTTCACAATTCGGTCAGAAACTTTTGCAGAAGCAGAAGTGGCGGAAGATCGGATGAGGAGGGTTTTGGCGGGGAGGGAGAGCGAGGAGTTTCGACAGATTTGGGCGGAGAGTCGCCGTAAACTGGCTATTGCCATAGTAAGGGATCTTCAAGATTGCTGCAAGCCTGGAATGACCCTCAGTTATTGTCGAATAATGTTGTTTAAAATAATTAATTTTTATTTTAATAATTTCAAATAATTTATTAATTTAGTAATTTGGATTAATTACAGGAAAGTACCATGTAACCCGAATCTGAATGACAGCCCCAATAATATATTAGTAGCCCCGTATAAACCGCATCCCGCCTCTGAATTCGACATCAATTCGATTCATCCCCATTTCGTTCCTTCCACCCCATTGGCACCTCCTATTTTCGTTTATATCATCGATCAAGGTTGGTACTTAGAACTCTTTCCCCGATCCTCTATCGACGACTCGATGTGAAGACCGGATATGTGAGGCGCCCAAGTGTGAATAGCAGATCCCGTCCCCTAGATGTGGGTGTTCAATATGTCATTGCCTTGAAGTAACTATCATTGTCCATGGATGATGATGACATTTTGCTCAAAAAACCTTGTAGTTTGACTACAAGGGCTCGATGGTGAAGCCGTTTAGATTTTGAATCTAGGCCAAGTTTTGTTTCATTGTGGATCAGAGAGAGATGGGGCCCATGTATAATGTTAAAAGGGACCCATTTATTATTTTTCTATTAAAGGAGGAAAGTAAAGTGGAACCACCTATTATTTTTCTCTTAAAAGAGAAATTTTCAAGTGGGTCCCACTTATTATTTTTCTCTAAAAAGAGGAAAGCTAAAATGGGACCAACCTATAATTTCAAGTGGGACCAACTTATATATTATTTTAAACATTTATTAATTATATATTGTGAGCATTAAAAAACAACTCACTTGGGCTGAATTGGAGTCGTCAACCATCATTTGAAGGAATTGGAGGTGATGGGACCTCCGAATATGATTTTCAAAAATATTGTGAGTTTAGCCATAGCAAGGATCATTGAAGTCATCTCAAGCGGCTCAGCCTCAAGGGGGTGAAAACAACTTGGCTCATAAGGCCTATGCCCAACAGTTGCAAGTCGAGCATAGGTCACCAAAAAAGCAGAAGCCAGAGGAACTCATCTCGTAGACRATGGCTCTTCAGCCAACACACTATTATATAACACCTTTGAGAAGATGCAGCTCACCCCAGATCATCTTTAGCCTATTAACATGCCCCTTATCAAATTTTCTAGAGTGGCCATACAACTAAAAGGAAGAATCACCCTACCCCTCATAGCTGGGACAAAGCCTCAGTACGTCACCAGGATTACAAAATTCCTAGTCGTGAAGGTTGGCTCACCTTACAACACTATTATTGGCTGACCAACCCTTCACGCTCTCAAGGTCATGATATCTTCATACCACCTCGCTATGAAGTTCCCCACAAAACACAACATATGAATGATCAAAGGAAACCAATAGGTTGCTAGGCAGTGCTATGTTGCAATGCTAAAAGGCAAGAACATGGAAGCCTTGCCGATGGAAGGGCTTGACCTCTAGAATGAACTCGCAAGCCGAGGTCAATCATTGGAAGACCTCATCACTATACCCTTAGATGAGGCAGAGCCCGAGAAAACTGTACAAGTAGGGTCTCTCCTCCCTTAAGACTGCCTTTTTGAATTGGTAAACTTCTTCAAAGATAATGCCAATGCCATTGCTTGGTTACCACTGATATGCTATGAATTGATCATTCAGTCATTACTTATATGCTGAGTTTGGACCTAGTTGTAGGCTAGTTCAGCAAAAGAAGAAAAACTTTGCACTAGAACGTTGGAAAGCGATTAGCGAGAAGGTGGATAAGTTACTAACGCCAGCTTCACCAGAGAGGTACACTATCTTGAATGGCTTTCTAACATGGTCATGGTTAGGAAAGCTAATAGGAAATGGTGAATATGTATTGACTTTAAAAATCTCAATAAGGCCTGCCTCAAAGATAGTTTCCCTTTGCTGAGAATAAACCACTTAATTGACACCACCTTAGGTTACGAACTCCTTAGCTTCATAGATACCTTCTTCGGCTACAACCAAATCAATATTCACCTTGGCAACGAAGAGAAGACATCCTTCATCACCGAGTATGGCACTTATTGTTACAAAATAATGCCATTTAGATTGAAGAGTGCAAGGACCACATACCAAAGACTGGTGAACAAGCTATTCAATGAGCAAATCAGCCCAAAATGTTGAGGCCTATGTAGATGATATGGTGATTGTGAGCAATGGAAAATGGCTCACTTGGGCTGGATTTGGAATTGCCACCCATCAGATTTGGAAATGGAGGTGATGGGGCCTCTGGGAATGTTGTTTTGTATTAATAGTGACTTCGAAACCCAAGGTTACATCAATCCGGGTAAGACTCGGATGGGAGAGGGAAGGGGTTAGGCACCCCTTTCCCGGTCCAATAAGTGGGGCCCACATGGGATTTCAAACAAGCACAAACAACCAATCATTCAATTAACTAAGAGCACAAAAAAGCAAAACAAATAAGGAATGAAACATCACAAGGAAATCGTCCTTAATTATACTTTTATTTTATTTTATATATTGTATTATTATTATTATTATTATTATTATTATTATTATTATTATTATTATTATTATTATTATTATTATTATTATTGTTGTTGTTGTTGTTGTTGTTGTTGTCTTATGGAACCCTATTTATATTTATTTTGAGAAGTTATTATTTTTTATTATTTAATTTTTTATATTTTTGTGTTTTAGGATCTTTTGTATTTTTTATCTTTCTCCTTTTTTCTTGTTTTTTACATATACTTTATTTCATTTTTTATTATTCTTTCCTTTTTAAAAGCTTATTTCCCTTTGTCACCTAAAGATGTTGGAGTTTATTGAACTAATCTCTCATATTTCACCTTTTCCCAATTTATTTATTTTTGTTTTATTTCCTTTTATTTTCTAACGAGTTAATTTGATTCCTCTTGACTAATCATTCTTCTCATTCAGAATTTGCAAATGGTAGGATCATCTCTGATCTGCTATCTATTTTCCCACCATTATTTTCTTCTTCCCTCTCTTTCTTTATATTTTTCATTATTATTTTTGTTTCTGATTAACTATGAAGTTCAATGACAGAATGTTAGACATAGTCTTCCTCAGTCAACAAAATACTCAATCAACTTAGAAATCCCTTACTCAGTAGTGGAACTAAATAAAACTTACATCTAGATTGATCCTAAACAGAGTCAATATTACAAACTATTATAATAAAGTGATTAAAAAATAAAGAGCATAATAGGATCTGCAAATCATCTTCCTTATTCAAACAAGATTTAATCCTACAAGAAACAGAAAAGAAAACACAATGGAGGTAAACAACAAAGCTATTGGCGATATTATCAGAGATGAAGAAATCAATGACTCAACTAAGGTCCATTTGGTAGAAAGTTCACACAACATTAGCAGGAGGAGTAAAAGCCACGACAGGTCTAGGTTGGCTTTAAGAATCTCACAAAAAATAGTTTAGTGAAAGCCTCTTTACCAATTCTGGTGATTACCCAAATACCAACAACTTGCTACCTCATACCAAAATGATGGTAAAAAAAAAAAGAAAATAACATGGGGGGATTTAATAACAATTAGACCTACCTTATCTTATTTTGGCCTGAAAATGAGCAATACAGGGGGAAACTCTAATCTGTGAACAATAGCTCAAGTGATGACAGTGTCGAGGGGACGACGAGATCCATGAAAATGGTAAGAAGAATCACTGAATATCCGATGACAATTGCTCCGAGTGTCGTCGCTATGAAGAGCTTCTTTGTAACCGGAGCACAAAGAAGGTCGATATTGTAAGTGGCGCAAATAGGGACAAGAGAGTGGAGGAAGAAGAAGAAGAAGAGAAAACGAAAGAATAGGGAGTGAAAGAGATAGGGTTATGGGTTATTATCGTTCGGGTATCATTGGGTCGAGAGCTTGCGGATAATGAATAGTGCTTCTGTTCAATGGTGACAAAGGAGCAAAAGCAAAAATGAAGGAGAAGAGAGAGAGAGAGAGAGAGAGAGAAAGAGGAAGGGACAGTCACTAGTTCAACACTGCAATCGAGAGGAAGGGGGAGGTGAACAATGGATTATCTTCTCATTAGCCCAAATTAGAAAGTTAGGTCATTATTAATATTAGGGCTAAGGGGCAATTTCATAAATTTTGGGAAATTTGAGGGTAGTTTTTTGGCAATATCACGAATTCGGGTCAAAACCAGTCCAAGGGGGTCAACCAAGGTTCTGGTTCAATGATAAGGGGTTTTGGGTCAATGATCGAGGAGTCACGATCATAAAGAGGGGTTTCGCATGTGTAGGCCTGGGGGTTCTTGAATAGTCTAAGGTGATCGGTAGGGTTTGATTGGCCCAACCAGGCCTAGACCGGGCTGATCTAGAAGGATGGTAGTTTAATTGATATGAGGCTTCAAAATGGAATCTTGGTAAGATGAAGGGGCAAACGAAGGCAATTTTGGGTGAACTTTATAGGGTAGGTATTTTGGATAGTCTGAGGTTATTGGAATCCTGTCAATCCCGGATTAGAAAGACTTGGAATCCTGTCAATCTAAAGTCTCGAAATAGAATCTCGGTGCGGTGAAGGGGCAAACAAAGGCAATTTTGGGTGAAACTTCACAGGGTAGGATCTTTGAAAAGTCTGAGTTGATTGGTAGGGTTTGATCAGCCCAACTGGGTCTAGATTAAGGTGATCTTAAAGGATAATGGTTCAATCAATTTATGGCTTCAAAATTGAATCTTGGTGCGACGAAGGGACAAACAAGGGCATTTTAGGCTGCAATTTTATAGGTGGGTATTTTAGGATATCTGGGATCTTGTGGTAATTCCCGATTGGTCTAGGTGGGGTCAAGATCGTAAGAATTTAGGTCAACAAGATGATTCATAATGGAATATTGGTTTAATGGAATGACAAATGGAGGAACCTGGGGTTGAAACTTTACGGGTATGTGTTTTGATGTATCCAGAGTTTAGTGGTGTAGTTTGATCGGTTCGGATGTGTTAAGATCAAGGGAATCCGGGTTCCAAGTGTTTAGGCTAACGAAAGGTATTGAAATGGAATCTTTTCTTGACGAAGCGGTAAACGGAGGAACCATGAGCTGAAATATTTTGGGTAGTTTTTTTGAAAGGTCTTGAATATGATGGTAGTGTCTAATCTGAGGGTAAAAGTGTAGATAGGGATTGATCGAGACCATCGAATTTATATTAAATAAGTTTGATGGTGGATTTGAGGGTTTTGGGGCTGAAAGTCAGGTTATTTGG